TCATATTGTTCTTCAGGTCCCAAACTCCTAGCCAATCAACTTCTTCTTCTTCATCTTTCAGACTCTGTAAAGTAAATACATGGATGAATGGGTAGATAGGTAGTTAGGAGATAGACAGACAGACAGACAGACAGATAATTGTGTACCCCTTAGCAGTAGCAGTGTGTCCTCAGAAGGTTTCATTGTGTGATTTCACTGCTGTGTGAGCATCAGTGCTTACCTAGCCTTACCTGCCCAGAGCCGCACTCCTCACTGACCTCCTATGTCTCTGTGTATGAATGCCATTGCCTTTTTTCTTTGCTATTTCTGATACATTATGATCTAGTTATTAGAAGATTTGTGTTAGAACTGAGCCTAAAAATAAATGTAAATAGGATTTAAGGATTTTTTTTTGGGGGGGGGGGGGTTTCAAGACAGGGTTTCTGTGTGTAGTTTTGGTGACGGTCCTGGATCTCGATCTGTAGACCAGGCTGGCCTCAAACTCACAGAGATCTGCCTGGTTCTGCCTTCCGAATGCTGGAACTAAAGATGTGCACCACCAACACCCAGCAGATTTAAGGATCTTAATTTTAGGATTAAAAGTTATGAGTTTTAGTTAATTGATGGTCACATCCTTATTTTGGTTGATATCACAGCCATTAGAGAAATGCAGTACTTATCTTAATAATGTATTCTATACATTATTAATTCTATCTGATAATCAGAATGTGGGTATTCTGTGTTTGGATGTTTTCTTCACCAGTTTGTTTGTTCATTTGTTTTTCTTGCCAAGTGAAAAATAATCCATTGAAAAAATAGGAATTTCAATATAGATTTCGGGGATTTCAAATAATTTCGACCTTGACAAGGACAGGGCTAATAATGTGAAGCATGTGCCTCTTTGTCATATAGAAAACTCTGGGTATCTTCTTGACTTTGTCTCTTGCAGGCTGTTAGCATCATTTGATATATTTTATCCTTGAAAAATAATTCTTCCAATTGCATTTTCAATTCAAAAGGATACTCTGTCCTTAGTTTTTAATTTCTAATACCTCAAAATGTGATTGAGTTTTAAAAGTTAAGTATCATGTTTGAAGGTTGTAACTACCTCCATCTGAAATAGGTTTTTGTCCAGTAAAAAGAAAGCTATCACAGAAGGCAACCTCTCCAATTCCACACACCATCTCTTGGGGCCTTGGGTACTCTTAATGCTACTGCTTATTATGTTGCTAAAGAAAACTGTCACCATGGCACATTATTTGTTCCTAGGAATACTTCCAGCAGAAGCAAATGATACTGCACAGTTGTAGACTCCTGGGAAAGCAAAACAAACAGCTTGGCATATGGTTGTCGTCTAATGAGGTCGCTCACCTTGAGCCAAAATGTTGTCCGTATTTCATGAAACAGAACTGCACAAGTTGAGCAGATCCTTCAGAAGTCACCAAGGTAGACTGTGCCTTCTGTGAAAAATGCTAAGCCCAAGGCAATGGGGATGACAGCGTGGTTCTCCGAGTCTAAACTCTGTAGAGTGGGGAAGCACTCTTCACTTCCATCGCCTGTTTTCTCCATCCCCATTGCTTATCTGAGTGCCTGACACGTCACCGAATAAAAGAAACCCTGCAACTGCTGGCTGAGGAAGGGAAGGACGGTAGTGTACACATTGCTCTACTTGATCCTTTAGACTCTGTCTTAGGGCATGTCACGGAGCTTGAGAGGAAAGGCATTGGCTTGCTGGCCACATTCTGTCAGTGCTTTAATTTGACACAGCTTAGTATAGACTATATTCTATAGTCTTGGAAAGTGAAATTTGAAATTCTTTTCTGGGCACATTTTAATGTAGAGCACAGGACCACTATGGAACAATATAAAGTAATAGAGATGGATGGTATTTTGCTATTAGAATAACTTTATAATTCTAGCAGAGAGGATACCACCTGTTTGCTTCAGAATCTGTCATTCCTTATTACTAAATTTGTTGTGTTTTCTCAGTTTAAATATTAGAGAGGAGGTCTGTCTTGTCCCTTTCCCTAATTCTGAGCATTTGCTTGCCATTACTTCTGCTAGAGCACTTTTTTTCTCTGTTATTTTCATGACTCTCTCTTGTCTAGCTTAAATATCATGTCTCCAGAGAGAAATGAAATGTGTCTTTCTAATTAGTGTGTGTTTGTTTTAATCAGGATACCACATAGAACTAATGGGTGTGAGCTATCATTTTTAAATATACAAAGAAGTAAATAACACCAAGCATGGTGACACATGCCTTTAATCCAGGCCTTTGTCAAAAGACAAAGGCAGGTACATCACTTTGAGTTCTAAGCCAGCCTGGTCACACAGCGAGTTCCAGGCCAGTCAGGATACATAGTGAGAACTTGTCTCCAAAAGCAAAAACAAATGAAATAAAAGTAGTAAATAATTTGTATTAAATATTTATCCCTGACTCCAGTAAATAATAGCTGTATGATTTAAAAACTCTCAGCTTGGACTTAATATATGGATCATTTGCTGGTGTATAACAACCACCCTAAAACTTGATAACCTAAAACAGTGTATGGTGATTGTCTGTGTTTCCTGATGCAGCTGGTTGATTCTCCCTTGGAAGTCTCATGCACTTGTACTCATAGTTCATCTCTGATTCCCCTGAAGTTTTATCTGTGGTGATCTAAAGGTCCTGCTGAGCTTGACCTCCATTATGCTTCTTCAGTCACATGCTTTGTGCTAGGGCTTGATTCATTAATATTGCTGGAAGCTAACCAGGCAGTTCTCTGCCTTTAGCTGTTTCTCCCTATAGCTTGCCTAGGCTGCATCTCAGCAGGGTGATCTCAAGGTCATCAATAATAATATTTGCACCCTGGCATTTCCTAAATTGGGTGTTCCCAAATAGTAAGTTAGTGCTGCAAAACCTCCATTGTAGCCTGGGAAGTCACATTAGCACCACTGTCATATGCTGTAGCAGTCTATTGGTTATAGGAGAGTGACAGGTCCAGACTCATTAAAGAGGAACTACATAATCATAGTACAGGACAGATAGAATCTGTGAGTAGCTTTGAGTACTACTGACTTCTCAATAATCCACAAATATAAACGATCTTTCCTTTGGAATTCTTTCGTCTGTATTTTGTAGTGGTTTTTTTTTTAATTGACTTTATTATGTATAGTGTTCTATCTGCATGTATGCCTGCAGGCCAGAAGAGGGCACCAGATCTCATTGCAGATGGTTGTGAGCCACCATGCGGTTGCTGGGAATTGAACTCAGGACCTCTGGAAGAACAGCCAATGCTCTTAACCACTGAACCATCTCTCCAGCCTTATTTTGTAGTTTTTGATATATGTCATTTTTGCTTTTTAGTTGAGTTTATCCCTAAAATATATATATGTACTTGTACATGTGTATGCGCATGCACATGCATGCATGAATATACATGCATACTCATGCATGCTATTGTAAATGAAAAGGTTTTCTTAATGTCTTTTATGGATTGTTCATTATATAATGATGTACATAGAAATGCATTTTATTTTGTGTGTTGGTTTTGTATATCTAATGGATTCATGTATTAGTATAGGCTTCATGTGGAATTTTTAGAGTTTTCTGTATATAAGATCATGTACCTGCAAACAGATAATTTTACTTTTACAATATGGATGCCTTGCATTTTTTCTTATTTTCCTAAGCTCTCTGACTAGTAATTCAGTACTGTACTGAATCAAGCTGTGAAACTAGTTCCTTTAAGTTATTTAGGGAGATAAAGCCCTCTTCCCTTCCTGTGGTGCTACCCCCACACACATCCTACCCCTTGAAAACCTAAAGCTCTGTTCCCCAGTGCTGTAGCCCTCTCGATGACCAGTTCTGTAGACAAGACAGGCCTTTAACAGTGGTCCACAGTAGCCTAGGACAGGAAGAAGTTAAAAGAGTTCATCCAGCTGTCACCACGTTCACATGTGACCAAGGAGTGCCTTGGATGCTTCCCTGCCAATGTCAGGCTGGCGCTGTAGTCTCTTTTTTATCAAATATGTCTTGAGTAATACAAACATTTTACAAGAACAAAATTAACTATTTAAGGTAGCACAACTAAAACAGAAAATATAAAGTGCCTAGAGGCAATTATAAATAAAGAGGAAAGTTAAGAACAGTGAGGATGTGGGGCAGGCAAGATGGCTCAGTAGGTGAAGATGCTTGCCTTGTAAGCCTGACACCTGAGTTTTACCCCTAGAACCCCACAGAGATGAAGGAGAAAAACCAGTGCCACAAAGTTGGCCTCTGACCTCCACAAGTCACTATAGCACATGCACCCCACCACACACATCATCATCATCATAACAATAATAATAATACCTTTTAAAACTTGACATTACAGGCAGATGTTTGTAACTTTGTCTACTGAAGAATTCTGGGTTCCCTATTTACAAAAGAAGCTGAAAACCAACATTTTTATAAAAATTGTATTTTTAGCCAGGCGGTGATGGCACACGCCTTTAATCCCAGCACTCGGGAGGCAGAGACAGGTGGATCTCTGTGAGTTCGAGGCCAGCCTGGTCTACAGAGCGAGATCCAGGACAGGCACCAACACTACACAGCGAAACGCTGTCTCAAAAAAAAAAAATTGTATTTTTAGCAAAGTTAAGACTTATTTGACAGCCAATTTTAAACCAAAAAAAAAGTCGTTTCCTTGACTTCCCCATAATTTGCAAGACTGCTTCTTTCACCAGCAAATAGCAGAAACAGCATGGCTCTTAGAAAAGGCTTTTCACCACAGCGGGCTTTGGGACTCTGGCAGGGCTGCCAGAGATCAGAAAGGGGCCTCACTGAAGAGCTCTGTAGTTAAAAAGATCTAAATGAGGGTCTGGAGTTACCATCTTACAAGTATATTTCAGTTCCTAGCCAATGGCCTGTTAGAAATCACAACTGTGCTGTCTCTAGAATGAAGAAGATACTGTTGTTTCCTAAGTGTGGTGTTCTCCAATCGTTCGGGTTCAGTCAGCTTCTTGTCTAGCTCTCCTGTTTCCTTCTACCTTAAATCTAGAGCTTTCGAAGAGAAACGCAAAGAACAAGAAGAAAAAGAGTATCAGATTAGAGAGCGCATCCTGCAGCAGAGGAAGCAGAAGTTTGAAGAAATTACTGAAAAATTCCAGCGTGCCCACGTTCCTCTCTCTCAGAGAAGGAGAGCAGGTACCTTCATTTCTGGAACGATTCTGAAACAAAATTTAAAGTTGTAATCACATTTAAATTGAGTAAACAATAAAATTACACATTAAAAAAAAAAAGTAGAAACCAAAACCACCACAGCCTGGTGTGCTGTTTGAGTGACAGGCACTTGAACCAAATGAAGAACAGGAACTCGAGTTAAAGTTCCTTTGGAAAATACTGGGTTGGTTGGCTCTGTGGGTAAATTCTCTATTCACTCACAAGTTTCTTTCAGCTTCACACTAATTCACAATGTTTTGTCTTTTTAAAATCGATTTTTTTTTTTTTTAAGTAACTTAACAGAAAGAAAATTTAGCAACTGGGTTCAGGAAGTTAGTGTTACATTCATTCTGCTATTTTACTTGTGGTTCACTCCAAATTCTTATTTGAGAGATTGGCAAAACACAATGTCTACAAAGTACTATAATCCAATAATATAAGACCTGTGGCCAATTACAAATTGAAGTTTAATTGGACCAAGGAGACGGCTTCATGTATACAGCACTTGTGAAGCATGAGGGCTGGAGTCTGCATCCCTAGAAGCATGCAAAGTCAGGCAGATGTGGCCACAGCCTGTACTCCAGCACTTGGGAAGCACAGACAGGGGATCCCTGGAACATGTTGCTAGCTAGTCTTGGCAAGCTTTCGGTTCAATTGAGAGACCCTGCCTGAATAAATGAAGTGGAGAGTAATTGAAACAGACACCACTGTCTACCTGCAGCCTTCATGCACACCCTCATGTGTCTGCATTCCAGACATGTGAGCATGCATATACACATGCACATATATTAAAAGGGAATTTAAATATGACTGTGATTGATGCTTTTCTATCATATCCACATTTTTAGACCTTACATAGCGAGACAGAACTAACAGTGTATCAAAGGTTACTAAAGAGAAAGAGCTGGCAGTGCCATCTTGTACCTAGCCATCATGTACTATACTGGATGGTACTCTGTCCCCAGCTATCCTGAGCTACAGAGATATGTAATTGTTCTCTAACACTAAAAATCACAACTTATTTTGATAAGAATTTAAACAATATTATTGGTACAATAATGGATGTGATCGCAGAATATGTACCTACTGTGAAAACACAGGAAATATCATCATCCTGTGTCAGGACACTAGGTCGTTGTTTCTAGAACAATGACATGCATGACTCTTGAATCAGTATCTTGCCAGGCAAAGAGAACAATAAAGAATAATAGCCCAGACAAAAGGAGCAGTTCATACAAGTGAACTGTGTCTTTCAGTGTATCAGAAGCATAAGTTAGGGAGTAAGAAGAGAAGCATATGAAGTTGAAACTGGAAGTAAGGTGGGGCTAACTCCTGAAGAACTTTATATGTCATGCTAGAAAGTTCGTCTTTATACAAAAGGGCATTTTTGAACTGGAAAGCAAGCCATTTCTGTGTTAGTAAGGGGTCTTAGGGGGAATAGGTGCTTCAGAGAATACTGACACTATCAGAAGACCCCAAGACATAGGAGGGTTTTCCTTTTCTCCGATAGGAGGAGGAGTCCTGAGGTTGGGGTCAAGAGCTGGTTCCATAGGAGGGTTTTCCTTTTCTCCGATAGGAGGAGGAGTCCTGAGGTTGGGGTCAAGAGCTGGTTCCATAGTTGTACAGACTTCAGCTGTCTTTCATCTGACTACTTTCTGCAGATGGTTTCTAGCTTTACTCTTATGGCTGTGATAGCTGCTAGGTCACCAACCGTAAGATTGGTATTCTAGACAGAAGAAAAGAAGACGTAAGGCTATGGCTCTGAACCCCCTTAAATCATTTCCTTAGAGGCATCCATTTATGTCATTTTTTTCTATTACGCTCCATTTGTAAGGGAAACGAAAACTTTCTGAATGTTGGATATATTTCTACTCCTAACAGTAAAAGCTCTGTTACTAAAAAAAGGAAATGAATATTAAGAGAGTCCTCTCATAATAAGATCTGTTTGGATAATTATAGTGACAACTTGGAATGTGGATGGAAGTAGAAACATACAGAAGTTAAAAGGCTAGGAGGAGAATAGCTCTGGGAAGAGATGTAAAGTTCCTCACTTGAGCAGTAACTGTATATAGACAGAAACGGTAATCTACTCAGATACCACAATCGACAGGATTACTAAGTGTAGGAGAAGAAAAGCTGTAAGGAGAACAGTGACTTAGGAACTTGGCAGAGAGCATCACACATAATATACATTAATAAATGGCAATATTTTACTAGCATGTATTCATTCTATGTCATAAATTTTATTTTGATATTTTCATACATGTATATAATATTATTATCATATTCACCCTCATTATCCTCCCTTGTGTCTAGAGTTCAAGTTTGAGCTAACTCCTGTGTAATAGTATACTGGCTTTGCTTAAACCCTTTGGAGAAAATTTACAGACAGTAGAATAGTGGGGAAGTACAGTGACATGAATATTTTAAAGTAAAAGTTTTTTTTTTTAATGTTAGGTTTTCACAAAGTGTTAGAGCTAGAAAATCATGTCCTCTACCCCCAGGCTTTGAATTATGTATAGAATTTGATGAGTGGAGCATAATGTTTCCATATACAAAGGCTGCAAGAGGCAGCATTCTTTTTTTTTTCCTTATAAAGGAAAACATTCAATTGGGGCTGACTTATAGTTTCAGAGATTTAGTCCATTATCTTTACTGAGGGGCATGGCAATGTGCAGGCAAACATGGTACTGGAGGAGTGGAGAATTCTGCATCTTGATCAACAGGCAGCAGAAGCACCTGTGTGTCACATTTGATATAGCTTGAGCATAGGAGACCTCAAAGTCTATATATCCCTACAGCGATATACTTCCTCCAACAAGGCCATGCCTAAACCAACAAAGCCACCCCTTCAAATAATGTCACTCCCTAAGGGGGCCATTTTCTTTCAACTCAACACAGTCACCATATGAAGAAGCACAAAAGAATGCCAACAAGGTTTTCGTCCAGTCCCAACCTATCTATCATGGCCTACAAACCCATAATCGAATTTTACACACACACACACACACACACACACACACACACACACACACACACACACACACATACACACACACACACAATGGAAATGTTTTTTAAAAAATAAATCTCATTGCCCTTACATTATCTAGAATTGTTATTGACGCTTGTGAGATTTTTTTCTCCACAATAAATAATTTTGTGTAATTAAATGTAAGTTTGTTGGCTAAAGATCTGAACAAATCCCAGATAGTCATAGATTTCCCTTCAGTATGAGTTCTTTAATATCCTCAAATTCCACTGTGATATACAAAGGCTCTAACAAATTAATTACATACTGCAGGATTTACTCTTGGATAAATTCTTTCAGGGTTATAAAGATTAAGGTGATGGGCAGACTTTATAATACTTATTACATGCATAGGTTACTCTCCAATGTGAATTCTTTCATGACTTTGCTGATATGTGACATGCAAAAGTTTTATCACATTGCTTGTATTCATAGGGTTTCTCTCCAGTATGAGTTCTTTTTTTTTTTAATTTAACATATTTCTTTAACGAATCCTTGGGAATTTTTCATCATGCACCCCAATTCCGCTCAACTTCCATTCCAGTTATATACTCACTCCATCCCTGCAGCATCCCCCACCAAAAGAAAATTATTTTTAAAAAATCAAAGCAAAACAAGTAAGCAAACAAAAAACAACAAAACAATAAAAAACTTCTTTGCTTCCCCATCTTCCCCACCTTTCCAACACCTCCTCATTTGTCCTGGTGGCATTGGGAGCCTTAGTGTGTCACACAGTAGACCCTTTTGTCCAATCAGCTTTACTTGCAAATGATCATTGCAATGAGTCATTGGTTTTGTTCAAGGCCTCTGGTTTCTGGTATAACATTATCACTGGATCCTCACTGAAACTCCTCTGGGATATCCTGCAGCTGCCACAAGTCATGGAGATCCTGAGAGTATTGTTCTACAGGACCAATCCCTTCATGAGCTCCAGTAGGTCCCACATGGAGTAAATGTTAGAGTGGGCCAACCCCAGGCCTGGCTGTGGGTCTGAGTTGTTGAGCTGGTCAGTCCAGGCAACTGGGGCTTCCTCCCTCAGGCGAGTGGTGGGCAGAGCCAGCTCCCTTATGCCCAAGTCATCAGGGTAAATCCTCCCTCACCCATGGTGAGGGGTACGGTCATCTCCCCAGAGTGCAGGGGTACGGGCTAGCTCAACAGCTGTGTTTCTACCTGTACAACAGTAAAGGAACATTAGAAGTAAGGGAAAGGAATATGTTGAGTACCATTGTACATTGGAAGTACATACTGGAAGACTTTGAAAATGGGTGTGTACAGAAACCAAGAATGGATGAAAGGTCTAGAGAGCAGTGTGGGGTTAGTGTCTATGTAGCATATGGTCATGAGGACATCGCTTGCCTTCTTCACAGACCTTAGCTTCCTTAGTTGTAAAATTCAAATAGCACCTGTGTGGTGGCTAGATGGGCATTAGCACTTAAAATAAGCACTGTAGCAGGAAATGCCCAAAGTTAGTTGATTTTTTTTTTCATTTTATTCAGAGGAATATGTAAAAATTTTTGTCATAAAATTTTGAGACAATGAGATCAGATATAGAAGAGATTATATATAAGAAAAGCCTACACATTTTTCAAATTTCCTTTTTTCAAATATTATCATAAAATTGATGATGAAGCTATCAAAATAACAATTTCTTTTTTAGGACTTACAAATCAAAGTTTAAATTTTTATTCTATTGTAAATATATTATATAAGAACCTTGAAATATATTATTGGCCAACTAAATTATATATCAATAAACCATTGGTGATAAAATGATTCTTTATTGTTTATGGTTTTTTTTCTGTTCCTTTACTTTTTCACAATCCAGTTCCCCCATTAGAAGAGGCCCTTAAACAAATTCAAGAATCTAACTTAAAATCAGAAGTAAACATTCCTCTTTCCCACAGACCAGCAACAACTTGGCGGTAAGCAATTTATTATTACTGTATTAATATGATTATACTGTTATCACTTAATTTATAATAACTAAATGACTTTCTGCTTGCTGAATTTGTAGTCTTTTTCATTGGTTACTTCTCTTTTTGGGGGGGTAGGGGAGGTTTAAGATATGGTTCCTCTGTGTAGCTCTGGCTGTCCTGGAACTCACCCTGTAGACCAGGCTGGCCTCAAACTCATAGAGATCCACCTGCCTCTCTGCCTCCCAAGTGCTGGGATTAAGATGTGTGCTGCCACCACCTGGCTCATTGGTTACTTCTTATCTCTGTTTTAGAATTTGTTCTTTTTACAAATTAATTAAGAATTAAGTCCACTGTAATTTGCTGTCTTACACTGTTACACTTACATTACTAACAATACAAATATTGCCAATAGTGAATAATTTTCTATGAAAAATATAAAATCTATTTTAATATATTGATGTTTATTGTTGTCTTTACTGAATAGATAAAATTGTTTGAATTGTATTGATACAAATTTGGTTTTAAAAAGTAATTTTGTTGTTTGAGTGGATTTTTCCTCAATCAAAGTTTTTTTGTTGTTGGTCTCAATAAAAACTACAATGTCTGTCTTTTCCATTTTTTCCAAATATTTTTTGATGTAACTATATGCAGAGAACTAGATAAAGCATTGGAAAGCAATATGGAGTAGGCTGTTAAAAATACAGTCCCCAGGGGCTGGAGAGGTGGCTCAGTGGTTAAGAGCACTGATGCTCTTCCATAAGATTTCATGTCTACATATGTATAATCCTCATGTATAACCATAGAGAAAGATGAAATGATGCTTTGGAAAACACCAGGACTGGGTTGTAGCTCAGTGGAAGAGTGCTTAGCTCACATGTGTGAGGCCTGGGATTGGTCCCCAGCACCACAAAACAGTTGCATAGAATTACATCAGATGAGTAGTAATAATCAGAACATTCACCTTTAGGAAGTTATTAATAATTCAGATTTTACCTATACAGACTATTATTCTGTTCTTAGAATTCCTCTGGTTAGTGATTCTCTTGATTAGACCTAAAAACAAATCATTTCATCCTTTCAGTATTCCTTAGAGTCTGGGAAAGAACTGGACTCTTGGTTTAAAGAACTTCATTAAAGCAGCTCTGAAGAGCATATGAGTTACCAGGACAAGTGGTGAATGGCACCGCAGACAGAGTGATGAGCACACGCACAGTCCGCAAGCGATAGTGCTGATGATGTAGTCGGGGTAAAGGGAGTAGAGTCAGCTGGGGCTAGAGTTCAGTGGTAGCATGCTTACTGAGCATGCACCAGACCCTGGGTTTGACCCTCGTTCTACAGAGAGAAGGTGAGAGAGGAAAAAGAGGCAGAGACAGGCAAGAGACAAAGAGAGACCCCATAATTTGAGACAGAAATGGAGATGCATGCCCGGAATCCCAGAACTCATGATGTGGAATCAAGAAGATCAAGAGTTGAGGGCCTGCTTCAGCTACATGAGACCCATCCAAAATAGCATGGGTGAATCGGAGAATACAAATACTAAGCTTAACTAGATATGAGATTAGAAAGAGAGATGCATCTGTATGTTAAAAAATATAAACTTTGGGGCAATCGAGATGGCCACCAAGCTGATGATCTAAATTTGATCCCCAGGACCCACATAGTCAAAGGAGAGAACCAACTAATGCACTCTGTCCTCTGACTCCTACATGCATGCTGTGGCATAGATGTATACACCCACAGAAACACATATGAATAAATATAATTTTAAAAGAAGAAATGAAAACAAACTTACTCCTGAGATTTGTAAGAGAATTTTTTTTTTGGGGGGGGGCTTTGAGAGAGTTTCTTTGTGTAGTTTTGGTGCCTGTCTGAATCTCAGTCTGTAGCCCACTCGAACTCACAGAGATCGCCTGGCTCTGTCTCCCCAGTGCTGGAATTAAAGGCATGTGCCACCACCACCTGGCTTATAAGAGAATTTTAAACAAGCAAGGTCATTTTTTTAAACATACCATTACAATCATTATAGACAATTGTGGATAATGGGAAGAGACAGTGAATAATGGAGAGAGGAAGAAAGGGAGGAAAGAAAACTATTTCATGAAAAGAATAGATTATGAGTTTGGTATGATAATATAAAGAAAATTAAAATACAAAAGGTAAATGTGAGAATTTGGTAAGTAAAAGTTTGGAGATTTCTCAAAAAAATAAAAATAAAACTACTATATAACCCAGCTATTTCACTTCTGAGAATATACCCGGAGAACTCTATACTCTACCACAGAGATGTTTGGACCCCTTGTTTATTATTGCTTTGTTCACAATAACAAAGAATTGGAATCAGCTCCGCTGTCCATCAACAGATGAATGGATAATGAAAATCTGGTGTATATATACATATTGGAACACTAAGCTCTAAAGAAAAATGAAATTAAAACTGTGCAGGAAAATGGATGGATGTGTACAATATTAAGTGAGGTCACACCATCTCAGAAAGAAATAAACCACATGTTCTCTCTTGTATGTGGAATCTAGCCAATAATATATGTCCATATGTCAACAAATGTACATGTGGGTACAGTATACAAGAAAAGAAAACTAGTAAAGCTAAATATAATTAAGATGATGAGAAAGGAATGAATTCAGGGAATGGCCATGAATCATGAAAGAGGATATAAAACTAATTGTTTTTCTTTTTTTATTTTTGGGTTTTGGGGGGAATTTTTTGGGGGTGTTTTGTTTTATTTTGTTTTGTTTTGTTTTTTGAGACCGGGTTTCTCTGTGTAGCTTTGGAGCCTGTCCTGGAACTCACTCTGTAGCCCAGGCTGGCCTCAAACTCACAGGGATCCGCCTGCCTCTGCCTCCCAAGACTGGGATTAAAGGCATGTGCCACCACCACCCAGCCTAATTGTTTTTCTAGTGCTAATGCTGTCATGGATTATTGTGGTTTGGTGGTGGATACGTGCATAAAATATATTTAATACTAAAAATGTAAAATTTAATGTGAAGCTTCACAACTTCCATTTCAAATGTAAATTCTAACTGGATGTAAGTTTGTTAAGTTGTATAGACTTTGGGTCTGGTTAATTTTTATGTGTAATGCTTTTATTTATTTGCAAGTTTTTTACAATATCATTTTAAAAGAGAATTTGGTGATATTTAAATTTTCTATGTGAGCTTTTTTAATCAGAAGATGGGAGTACAGTTATAAATATTAAAAATTTTTTTAACAAAGTTGAGATAAGAAGACTAGAAAGAGATATGAAAGTTGTGATTTTATTGTTACTCGATTTTTTTTCTTAGTATTTTTGTTTCCCAAACCAGATTGCAGTTTTGTTCAGTATAATAGCTAGGTCTTACACATACATGTATTTCCTATAGTGCTATACATGTTGGAAGAATTCCAGAAATAAGGGGAAAACACCATAGATATGAGTAAACACTCTTAAGGGTAGAAGTTGGCCTAAAGCTATAAAAATGAGGAGAATATTCATCAGAGGCAAGCACTTCCTGCAATTTAATTAGTTTAATTTGCCTTACATGTACACTGAGAAGAGAGTTGTCGGTAGGACAGTTACAAAGGAAGCCAAGAATTAAACCAGGAAGAGTCTGTTAAGTAATATGTTCTAGAAAAAGTTAATGAAAAAATTGAAGCAAGCTTCCAATAATATGTTTTGGAAGTTTTGCCAAATGAATAGGGGCAGACTAAATGTGGAAAAATCAGATAAACTGGTCCTCCGGTTAACAAACTGATGAGTTCTTCACAACTGCCAAGGAGGAAAAGAGAAGAAGAGGAAGAGTCGGGGGTGGTTTCAGAGACAGGATTTGGTCAGAGAGTAGATGGTGAGACAGTGAAACCATTTATCAAAACTTAAGGATGAGGATAAGAAGGCAGATCTCATGTTGAGCATTTTGCCACAATAGAAAAAAATATGACTGTGAAGGAAGAATCAGCAGGTTTAGGGAGAGAGTCGTTGAAAGGAAGCTAGGGTAAGTTATAAGTTTGGAGTGCAGGGTATTCAGGAACCAGTTTCTCGGTTCTCGGCCATGAATACAGATGTGACAGTCATCACAGATCAAAACAGAACAATGACTGGTGTCTGTCAGTGGTGGTCTTGAGTGAAGCGAACAGTCAGAATGCAATGTGGTAACAAGACAGTACCCTTGGATATGAGCATTTTTTGGGGCAGGCCACAGAGCAGTTGAAAGCTAGTCTTTGCTGAGTTCCTCCCTCCTGCAAATGACAGCACCACTGTCGATGCGATCACAGTAGATGAGCCACTTCCTAAGGAAGCAACTTAGAAAGGTACCCCGTGCTGAATTAGTCCAGTAAGAAAGATGAGAGGACAGCGTTAACTGTTAAAGACACACGGATATGGAGAACATCACAGTCAGCTTACACGAGATTCCATAGGAGTTCTGGTAAAGTAAGAAAAGGGTGGCCAAAGTCAAAACTTCCAAAAGGCTGGCCTCAGAAGTGAGCCCTAAAAGGAGGAATCAGAGAAGTAGAAAAAGATAGTAGGAAAACTAAAGCCATTAAAGACAGTGGTCAAATTTCTACTTTTACAGTGAATGAGTTAAGTAGTTAATCATAAGCAAAGCAACACATGAAGTGAAACAAGCTAGAAATATGTGTTAAAAACCTCAAGTTGGAGACATGAAGGCTGTATGACATTAGAGTATTCTAGGAAAGCTTGTCTGGACAAAAGATGGTACATACTGACCAAGGCAGGCAGGGCTCCGAGGGAGCTTCGGCTTTAAAACTTCTAAACTACTTAGCGTTTTTGTACAGAGACCCTTCACTGTCCAGTTTCTTTTTCTGTGTATCAACTATTACTTTGTGCTGATCAGATATTTTCCATTTTAAAAACACCTCTTTTGTACAATAAATGAAAGCATGGTGATTTTTCAGCAATGTGCAGTTGTTTAAAATCTTTGAAGGGTTAAACTGTCAGAATAACTTCAGTTCTTCTGAAGGAAAATATTTGTTATCATTTTAGTAAATCTGTACTAAAATAACAAATATTATGTATTGTCATTGTGAGAAATAACCTGCATTCTGTATCAAAATACCTAGTTTTCATAATATACTTTTGACTGTGACTTTGTGATAGCTATGTGTATGTATGTATACATATATATATAACATAAGTCTTTATTTGAAAAGCAAATATGTATAATCTATGAGAGAAGATACCATGATTAACTAATAAAAAATTGGACTTCTCTCCCCAAATAACTAAGTGTTAAATATTATATGTTAAGTATTCTACAAACTATAAATGCCATATAAATATGAAATTTTAGATTATTAATGATCATTCATTGGTTTTATCAAAACAAATTTTCATGCAAGTGTTTATTCGAGGATTAATAAGCTATTGTCGTGTTACAGATACATTTCAGTGGAATATAAACCTAAAGTAGGTTAAGAAATAAAATGATACCATAAAACAATTCCAGAGAAACAGAGTATAGCAGGAGTACTTGTGCTGGGGACTGAGTAGGCCTCTGTGCAGGCTCTACCATTAGCCACAGCCTCAGCCCAAGAGGTGGCTCTGACATAGAAAATGCTAATGGTAAATAAAAATATTTTAAGATGCTAATGTTATAATCTAAAATGAAAATTTATTTAGAAAAGTGGAGGCTAATTCTTAAGCCTCATTAAAAATTGGCCAATAGGTTTTTAGGAATATAGAAACCACTTCAGGAAGTAATGAGATATAAAAATCTTAATAAGGTATTAACTTTTATAATATCAAAAATAATCAACTTTCCATCGCAGTCAAGTTCTTATCACAAAGCTGATCTGACATTTCTGGTGGATGTAGAGCAGGAGAGGACATAGTCTCTCCTGGTTAAACTCTCTGACAGAGCAGTTTTGTGAGATATCTATCTCCAATATCCATGTCTTTGTGATGAGATAGTCAATTCTGAACCACCCACTACCCCAAGATGTCGGCATTCGCTATTCACACTAGTGGTTTAAACTAGATTTTCCTGCCTATATCTGTGCATCAGACTTTTGAAAAGAGAAGAAAGATGAATTTGAATCATCTGTGTACATGTTTCAGTCAGTCAGTGTGAGGGGAATCTGGTTGACCAAAGGAAGATCAAACATGGACCCCAAAGGATAAAATCAAAATCAATCAAAAACCTACAGGCAGCCCAGTAATAGACTTTTTAAATCTTAATGAGGTTCTTTCTACTTGCCTGTCCAAATACTTTCCCACCTATGCAGATCCATTCCTGCCTGTCCAGCTATCTCCAATCCTGATCCCTACTTACCTGGTCAGCTGTCTGCTTCACGGGCCCCATTGCTATCCCATCATCCCCAGATTCTTCCTAGCTACCCTGTTGTTTCTCCCACCCCCCAGACCTGTGTTCTTCCATCTGTCCCCTCTACTCTTCCAAAGACCTTTTTACCAGCCCCATTACTGTCTTACCCTATCAGATATCTCCCTCATCCTCCAGCCCCAGTTACTTCTAGCTTTTCTGGCAATTTCCCTAGTCTACCAGCCCCTATTCCATCTGGGCCACCTGTCCTTCCACCTCATCCATCCCAAAGTTCTCCGATCATTCCTGATCCTGACTCACAGAACAGATTGTTTTATAAAACTTTCAGACCCAAACATATACTTGCAGCACAGCATTCTACCCCAGCAACTCTAATGCCTGCCCTTATCCGTCGTTCCCTTCCAGCTCGACTGGTTGTTTCCCCAACCCCCTTGGAAGCTCTCCCTGTTTTGAAACCTTCCAGTTTATCCAGACATCCAACTCAACCAGCCCCACCCCTCTCTTGTATCACTCCTGTGCCTGAGCATTCTGCTAGGTTTGATGCTTGTCAGTCATTTCAGAAATATGTTCCCCAAGCCACAACACTGTCAGATCAGCCTCAGGCCCTCGTAGACCATCTGCCTGCCTTGTTTCTCTCCCACCCGCCCCCATGTCATTCTCCGTGCTCTACTTTGCCTTCATCACCTTCTGCTTCCACACCCTCTTCACCGTTGGTAGCAGCTTCTTCCTCTTCATCCACACTTTCTTCTCCTTCACCTTCTTCTTCTACCTCCCCTCCCCTACCTGTTCCATCTGTCCCTCTTTTGCCCTCTTCTTTGCATTCATCCTCTTCTCCATGTTTGCCTCCAACTTATCTAGCTTTCCCCTCTCCAGTGTCTCCTTCTTCCTCTTCTTTTGTGATTTCTTCTTCCTTTCCTCCCATGCTTCACTCTATCTCGATTTCTACCTCCCCATCTCCTTTTATTCCTATCCATCCCTTCAATCCTCCTCACTGGGGGAAGAAAGTAGAGAAGAGGAGAGAAGAAAGTGGAGTAGAGAAGAAAGGAATAGAGAAGAAAAAGTTGAGAGACGACAACTTTAAAGGTAAATCAATTGAGTTTATTAGACATTTTGTAGATTTAGTTCTATTTTGTTTGGGAAGGGTAACTTAAAGGGGAAGGACTATGTAAGAGTAGAAAAGTATAAAAACAAAAATAGACAGAAACATACCCTCACTGTTCAGGAATGTGTACTAAATACCTTCTCACTAGCCATGCTCTCCTGGTGATGACAAAGGAATAATTAGGAATGTAGTAATCACCAACCTTGATGATTCTGTCTGTCTAAATAAAGACATATATGGGTATTGGAGATAGTTATATGTCACATGTGGCAATATGCCACCTTCTAAAATGTTTCTTTATCCTGATCTAATTGGAAATAATTTAACTGAGTTGGTAGTAAATGCCCCTCAGTCAGCTGTATCCTTCATCACCCACTTATCCTTGAAGGAATTGGATCTGTTGAAATATAACAAGCTAACAGCTTCCAGACAGCACAAAAATCTAATAGAAGAGATGTCCTGAGTTTCCAGACAATACAACATTGTAAAAAATTTTTAAAAAGATACTGTTCTGATTGGAAACACTAAAAGTAGACTACATTGAAGACAGTCTTTTTGTGGCATAAAAAAATATGCTTAAATGGGGCTAGAGAGATGGTTTAGGGTTTAAAAGCACTGGCTGCTCTTCCAAAGGACCAGGTCCAGTTCCCGTCACCCACATGGCAGTTCACAGCTATCTGTGACTCCAGTTCCAGGGGATCTGACACACTCATACAAAGATATGTGCAGAAAAAACCCAATGTACATTAAATAAACAAATCTTTTTTAAAAATGTGCTTACATTTCTGATTATATTCCTGAACCAAACTGAAAACAAAGGTTTATATTCTTGCTGAGTAAGAGCCACACTCCCATAGCTAGTTATGCAGGGAGGGCATTCATACCTACCCTGACACAGCACAGTCTTAATTTCTGTCTGCGTGAACCTTGGCCAACTCTCTTAGGGATATAGGAATATCCACTGGCCAAGACATCAGCTAAGAACAAAAGCTAATAAATATTATTATCTATATAAAAATATATCTAGAGAAATGAAAACTGACAACAAATTCACAGGATTTCTACTCCTGCCCAAGTGATAAAAGAATGGAATATAGTCATCACAATCATGAATGAATAAGCCTCCCTTATTCATTCTTTATTGGCACTCTGGTCTCACAGTCATTTTTATTCTATTACTCATTGCCTTAAAGTTCTCTTCTAATATATCTGTAGATTTCTCCAATATCCTTATATGTAATTATCTGGACACATGTGCACATAGTATACAGTTGTGTCATTTATATGCTTATAGAAATACGTTGATTTCAGCTAAATTAACTTATTACTGTACTAAATCTTTTCCTATCTGGTTCACAGAGCTATAGATTCTGCCTTGCCTTCAGCAGTGTCAAAAAATGATCACGAACATCAAAAATATCTTGTAAGCAGAATTAACTGCGATAAAGAAATGAAGGAAAACAACATAGCAAACCTAGCTACTAACAAAAACGTGTTCCAGCTCAAACTGGAGGAGACTCAGAAACTCCTAGAGAATCAACATTTAAGCAGTTTGCAAGTATGAACTATAACTCTATTACTGGTGTTTTAATTTGTAGTAAAATTCTGTCCTACTTCCCAGTGTTCTCCACACAGCTAAAAGGAGGCCATAAAAATACTGTGTATGAGTCAGTATAACTTCGTCACAGATGCTAATTTTTCTTCCTGATCTTCTTTTTGCATTTATTTTAAAAAATTTAGGCTGTATGAATGTTATTTTCTGACAAATATAAAAGCTGTTTGAAAGTATAAAATAATATAACTATTATTATTAGAGGTTATATTTTAAAAAGCAACCTAAATTTAGGATGCATATAGATGCTACTGAACCATCTCTCCAAGCCCTAAAGCCACTGGTTCTTGAACCTGTATCCACATGCTTCCATAGAAACCGTAAGATCAGTACAAGACTGCTGCATGGATCTCATGTGGAAATGAACCAGCGGGGTCCAGACATAGATTTTTGTCAGTATTTTGTTTGGACTCAGGATCTAATTTAGCCCAGGCTGGCCTCAAACTTAGTATGTAGCCAAGACTATCCTTGAACTTCTGATCCTCCCTGGCTTTCATATTTATTTTTATGAAACTTTTTGTCTCTTACATACAACCATAGTTGAAAACCTTTCTCTAGACCTTTATAAAAATGATATAATTCCTATCAATTGACAGTTCACATTAAGTTCACAGAACTTTATTTTCTTTTTTAAAAGTCTCTTAATTTTTGAGAATTTCATGCATGCGTATGATGTATTTTGCTCTAATCTTTCTATTTCCTCCCCTATTCCTGACCACCACTTTTTCTTCCCAACTTGATGTGCTTCGTTTTTAAACCCACTGAGTTCACTTGGTACTGCCTGTATGGGTGTGTGTGTAGAATTACCTATTGGACCACAGGTAGCCTCCCCAGGATCATGCACAGTCTCCACATGGTGCTAATGGTAACTGATGGCTGCTGCATCACACATCTGTCAACAGTCTCTTTTCAGTCCAATGAAGGTTTCAGGAAGAGAATATAATTTATAAACAAGTATTTTTCAGAATTAATTTAGTATTATGAAACCTTGAAGAAACGCCATACCCTAAATGGAATAGCAATTATTTCTAAGCTGTCATGGTAGCTAGAACAATTGAGCAGTTACTTTGGGAGTTGAAAGGAAAGGAAGTACATTTTTTAGGGTTTCCTGACTTTCTCTTTACCATGAGGTCTGCTGCAGGGGTGTAGCTTATACCTATACTGTTTATAGTCACATTATTTTATGTGTCAGTAACACTAGTGTGAGTCCACAGTGTAAAACACTGTTCTTTTTTTTTCCCCTCAGAAATTTTGTGATGAAGTTAATCAGATAACCAATTCTGAAACTCTCTCAAGTATAGACAGCCTTGAGGCTGGAGAGCATGAAGAAATATACATAACACTTAGTATGGCTCCTTCCACGTCGACCCAGCAGAACTCTGTTCCCCTCAAGTCAGCAAATCTTCAATCAGCTCGTTTAAACTGCTTTGATGAAGATAAACTGTCTTTCTCTAAAACTCAGCATATAAACAGTTGGCTTACAAACTTAGACACACGAAGTACTCAGCCTGTCACATCTTTTTCAGATATCTTAAGTAAATCTAACGTTCTACCCTCATGGGAATGTTTGAATAATAAAGAACAGAATCCACCTACTTTGAGCAGAACTGTGGACAGAGCCACAAGAGCTGCTACTGACTCCGTGCTCTTTGTCTGTAGTCCTTCCGTCGTTGCTCTAGATAGAAAAGGAGAAAATACCTCTGAAAGCAATACTGTGAGGACGAGTGATCCCGCTGATGGAGCACTCCACAGGCAGAGGCTGCCGGGGGCCGAGAGCCCAACATTTCAAGTCAATAGAGCCTGGACTACTCCAGAATCTCTAACGCAGGAAGCAGCTTCATCTTCCATCCAAGAGAGGCTCTCTGGGTTAACTCCGGACGGCAGGAGTGCTCCTCCCATTCCTGCTCCGTGTGTACCAGTTTTGTCACCTAACCCACCGTCGGGTGGGCCTTCGTCAGAGCACAGCACATGCATGAAAGAAATCCATCCCGTGCAGTGTTCTGATAAGGCAGAGGAAATGACAGATGTGAGATGTGAAAAGATAAACTATTTTAGCTGTAATAAAGAAAAGTTGTCTGTATTTTCAGACAATTTTCAGGCCACCTGTGCACCTCAAAATTCTAACCCAAAAGATAGAAAACAAAAAGCCAATGGGCCATCAGCACCACTGTGTAACATCACTCCTGACTGTGACTTGCCTACCCAGCACAGCAAGAAGCACAGCATCCAGGAACAAAATGGGGTGAGGCTGCTCAAGAGTATATTAAAGAAAGAATCCAGATACGATCATGATTCTCTCAAGGCACTAGTTATAAATCAGAGTTTTAAGTTTAGACATCAGAAGGCAGAAGCCATTAGAGATAGTATTGAGTTAACAAAACAGAGAGGGAAAGGTGCAGGAGCCCCAAAGACTGTTAAAAAGCTGCGGTGGCTAGATGAAAGTAATGCCACAGAGAAGTGTGCAGGTGACAGCCACCCAGTGAGGGACAGGGCAGGAGTGGCTCCACAGTGGCTACAGCACTGTCACACCAGCAGTGGCACCTGCAACCTCACAAACGTCCCTGATTGTACTGCACCTTCTGCTGGTGGAGGGAAGGCCAAAGCTGACTGTGGCTCTGAAAATGGGACTGATTTAGGAGGATATGAAATGGACTGTGTGCCTTTGAAATCTTCTGTACCTTCAGGCTATAGCCTTGCTAAGCAAGCATGGTCAGCCTTTGGAAGAGAAGAGAACAAAGCCCCTGCACATGCTGCTGATGCCAAGACTCAGAAGTCTAAGCCTCCAAGGGGAGCGAAGGTAATGAGAAGAACAGGGTCTGCAAAGGTCCAGACAGGCCTTGTTCATGTGAACAGAAAAGCCACTGTCAGCCAGCCACCGTCTTCAAGAAAAGCCAACACACTGGCCCAAACTCAGGGTAAACTAATTATACCTCATCCTCCACCTAAACCACCGACAAATATTAAAAGTGGTAAAAATATGCAAGTGTCTCCATGTCAGTTAGCCGTACCTGAACATTCTCAAAATGTCATGCTACAGAACTGTTTAAATTCATGTGTGCTTCCAACAGAGTACCATTTGAACCAGTGGACTCAAGAAAGTAATCTTTCTGATGCTTGTTCTGACCTACTCGCTGTGACCCCAGCTCTACCATCTCCTTACGCTTCAGAGAGCCAAACCTCAGCAAAAGTAAACTATTCAAATGGCATTCACACAGGTTTCCAGCAAGAAGGGACGGTATACTGTACCCAAAGAAGTCCTGTTTGTGAAGAGAGCTACCAGTTGTTCACTCATAGGAATACCGAAGAAGAATCGATTCTCCCATGGAGAAGAAGGAACAATGGGTGCCAAAATGAGAAGGCTTCTGGTGAGGATAGAATTTATACCTTCTTGTGGGAAAATATACAACTTTTCAGAGTCATGTGACATATTGTGTATGGTAATGTATACTATATAGGTAGTGAGTTATAGTTTAGCCTTATGAAGATAACTTAGCTCTCAATTCTATAACTTGCTCTAGTAGCTGAAGTTCTTCAGAGAATTGTAGATGTAACCAACCGTCTTATTAAATAAGAAACACAGAGCCGATTCAGAGAAGAAAGCCAAGAGGTCAGAGCTAAGAGCCTTACCCTTCCTGCTTCAGCCAAGAGAGCTCTCCGAAAGGGAGCTACTTCCTGTGTGTTTGTCTTTATAGTCTTTCTGTTCTGCCTTCTCATTGGTTGTAAACCCAAACACATGACCTCCTCGTCACTGCCTGTCTGTAGAGACTTCCAGGTCTTCTATGGTTGGGATTGAGATTAAAGGCGTGTGTCTCCAATGCTGGCTGTATCTTTTTACACACAGAGATCTACCTAGCTCTGTCTACCAAGTGCTGGGATTAAAGGCGTGCGCCACCACCGCCATGTTCTTGCTATGGCTCTAATAGCTCTGACCCCCGGGCAACTTTATTTATTAACATACAATTAAAATCACATTTCAGTACAAATGAAATACCACCATAGAGAATTACCTAACCTGCACTCGGTAAAAGTTGGAAACTGTTGCTAGCTCTGTTTTTTCTATCGCCTCCCTGATGTTTAAAAAGAGAAGACAATGAGTAACATCTGATCCTTATCCCGTGTGGTTCCGTCATTGCTGTTGTCACATGAGCACCATGGGGAAAAGCCTTGTTTATTTAAATAGATAAATGTCACGACTTAGTTGTTTGTTTTGTTTTGTTTTGTTTGACATAGAGTATAGCTCTGGCTGGCCTAGAACTCACTATGTAGACCAACTAGCCTCACGTCCATTGATGTCCTCCTGCCTCTGATTCCCAAGTGCTGGCATTAAAGGCACGTGTCACCATATCTGGCTTATTTTAAAATTCTTACATGAATTTCTTATATGCTGTCAAGGTGCCAGGTAAAGATGCTTTCAGCCAAACTTGACAACCTGAATTCAATCCTGAAACTCGCATGGTGGCTGGAGAGAACTGACCCCTTTTAGGTGACCTCCAGACTCCACATAGGTGCACACACACGCTCATAAATAGGGCAAAATGCCTGCCGTTTACAGAGAGAAGTGTTTAAATATGTGCGCAGCCCTCCATCCTTTCCAGGACACTGCAGTTCTGCTTCTGCCAGCCTTGTGTTTATGTTTTCATGTAGGAAAAGAGTAGACACCATTGTTTTGAACAGTTTTGAGATTCCCTTCTCCGCTGAATACCATTGGCCCTGTCATTCACTGCTTGTGAAGCCACTTCCCTCCTTTAAGGAAATGGACTAGAAGCCATAAAACTTCCTGCCAGTGGCAATCCGTTCCCTACTGAAAAAGAGCAAGGACTGTTGATAGAGGGAGGGGAGCAGTACAGTAATAACAAGTAATAATGTGCTTAGAGAGTTTTCAAATTCATACTCAGTGTTCTCTTTGATTATTAGACCATGCACTTTTAAAGAGCAGGGATTTTCTGTGTACTACGTCACTGTGCTCCCACTCCCAACAGGGCCTGACACTTGACAACCCGACTCTCCATCGTTTTTTTTGAGACTTGGGAGATTTGTTTTGTTTTGTCTTGTTTTGTTTTGGAGGCAGAATCTCACTGTAGCACTGACTGGCCTGGAGCTCAGTAAGTAGACCATGCTGTCCTTGAACTCACACAGATCTACCTGCTTCTGCCTCATGAGTGCCAGGATTTAAAGGTATATAAAACCACACCTGACTTAATTTTTTAATTATTTTTTATTTATTTGTCAGTTGGTCTATGTATATCTATGCCACATGTGTGGGGGTACCTATGGAGGCCAAAAGAGGGTATCAGATTCTTTTTAGTCACCTACCATAAGTGCCAGCAAACTCACGTCCTCTGTAGTGACAACAAAGGCTCTTAATAAATGAGCTATCTCTCCAGCCCCGAGACTTTTCATGAATTGGATGGATACAAACTATATAAGCAGATGGACAATTGAATGCAAAGAATGTAGCCTAAATCTCTTGACTACTTCTCTACAAAAATCTAAGTTTTAAGAAGGTTAGAGAACTGAGGTTTTTAAAGAATGAAGAGAAACTAAGGGAAGAAAAATCTTGAGAAAAATAAGTAAATGATTTTGAATGGAAGTTATAAAGCAAGAGAAATAATATACCTTGAAACACATGTTATATGAGACCATATTCTAAAACACAGACTAATTCTTTACGGTGAAATAATTATGCTTATCCTCATCTGAAAATGAACAAAAATGTATAATGAATAAGCCCACTTAGAAGGGGTTCAAATAAAGGTCAAATTAAACCTCTGGGGAAAGGGATGTCAACCCAAAGAAACTTGATGGGAAGAGACATTGCCAGAGAAGGTGGTGTTGCCTGCTGCTGATAAACACAGCATGCTTTCCTCCAAGGACGGGACAGGACTCCATACTAAATCCGGAACTGAGTGGGAATAGGCAGTGGAAACAAAGTTAGAACAATAATGGAAACCTTTTAGAATTTCAAAGGGACAGACCTAGATATTTTAATAATGACATCTTTTAAGTAACATTAAAAACATAAGCCTATGAGAAAAATTGAATGTAAAGATTTTAATAGGCTATAGAGAAGACTAAAAACACCATGAAGTGAATGAAAGAAGACCTGGGTGGAGAAGAAGGTGTGTACATGTTGAGGCCATGAAGTTCCAACAGACTCTATGAATATTGCCAGACTCTATCTAATATTTAAATTATTAAATGTATAGACCAAGAATAGCTGAGACAATCTCAAGAACAAAGTTGAAAACTTCATTTCTAAAGCAGACAGTGGTGGCACATACCTTTAATCCCAGTACTCAGGAGGCAGAGGCAGGTGGATCTCTGTGAATCCAAGGCCAGCCTGGACAACCAGGGGTACACAAAGAAACCCTGTCTTGGAACTTTCATTTCTACATAGTCTATCTAAATCTACAACACTTAGCACAGTGTGGCATCTACAGAATGATAATAGAATACAGGCCCACATAATTAATTGCTTGATTTTAAACAAAGGTAACAATGCATAGTTGGGTAACTATATATCATCAGTAAAAGTGACCTTTCCTTCACTCATATACAAAAATCAGTTCCATATAAATTGTGATTTAAATATGAAAAATAAAAAAGCTCTAGAAGTAATATCATTTTAGAATAATCAGATTTCTTATACTCTATGTAAAATATAAACTATTAAGAATGGTACTTATACAACAAAATGGGAGTTTTTTCCATACAAGAAAATTAACAGGTTAAAATGACACACCACTGAAGGGGAAAAGATATTTGTAATGCTCTGTACTAATCAAGACTCATAGGCAGAATGAGTCATCAATTATACCCTGAGGGCTAAGCCAGAGATGCAGTACCGAGTAAAGAGGTCTATTGCAAAGCATTGATTTAAATTAATATGGGACTCAGCTAGGCAAATCTAATATTTGTAGGACAAGTTATAAAGAACAGGCTAATAGACTGCAAAAAGGGCTAACACCAGTATCCACAGAGATTGAATCAAATCCCACCATGATTATCTAGAGTGTCTCCCTCAAAAAAAAAAAAAAACTGCATGAACAAAATAATGTCACAGAATATTGATGTTTAATCGAACAACTGCAGACTACAGGTAACAATCAAAAGGATCCTCACGGGGCTAGGAAGATAGCACATTCACTAAGGAGCTTGACTTGCAAACATGAGACCTGAGTTCAGTCCCCAGAACTCATGGTAATAAAAATAGAGGACCTTATAAAGGACCCAGCACCCACATAGTCGTTCACAACCACCTGGAACTCAAGTCGCAGGGGATTCAGTGTCTTCTTCTGACCTCCAAGTACACAAGTGGTACATGTAAGTGTTACAACTCTGAGGGAGAAAGGTATCCTGACTGCTCAGGGAGTCAGGCTATACTTTGAGCTGCTAGGACAGCTCTGGTGGCTGGAGCTGCATTGGGACAGCTCTGCTCTGGAGGGAAAGGTATCCTGACTGCTCGGGAGTCAGGCTATACCTGGTGTTGTGGGGCATAGTCTCCTTACAGGATATAGCAATCCTGCTCCTCTCCTGAAGAGCCGCTACAGCTGAGCTTTGCTCAGCCCCCACTTAAGGGGGCTTCCTGGCACAGCTCTGCTTCTTCTCCAGGCCAAGATGTTGCTTCTTTTGCTTCACTCTGCTAAAGGAGAAACCCCTGCAGAAATGTAGCAATCGCCTCTTGCTCTGGTGAAAAGTTGTTACTTTTTCTGCTCCACCTTGCTCAGTCCCCTAAGGGACATCTTAGCAAGGTTCTTCTCTTCAACTCCGCCTTGCTCAGTCCCCTAAGGGAACGTCTCTCCAAGGTTTTTTCTGCTCAGTCCCCTCAGGGACGTCTTAAGGTTCTTCTCTGCACCAGCAAATGAAGATCTTCACACCCAAGACTCTTTTGAGAAAGAGTTTTTTTTTTTTTTTTTGGTTTTTCGAGACAGGGTTTCTCTGTGCAGCTTTGCGCCTTTCCTGGATCTCGCTCTCTAGACCAGGCTGGCCTCGAACTCACAAAGATCCGCCTGCCTCTGCCTCCCAAGTGCTGGGATTAAAGGCGTGCGCCACCACCGCCCGGCTTGAGAAAGAGTTTTATTTGGGAAGGAGGAGTCCAGCAGAGTGGCTGCCTCTATCGGGGTGGGAAAGAACAACTGCTGAACAGGCAGGGTGGTTTATATAGGGTTTCTTAGGGGCGGGGTTTCTTCAGGGAGAAGATTTTCTATTCATGGATTGGTTAGTTTCCTGCCCAGGGATTGATTAGTTTCATTGTTCAGGGGCAGAGATGACTCTGATTTCAGGGCCAAACTGTGTTACTTTCACTGGCCTTTTTTGGGTTTTTTTTGGCTCTAATTCTACGGCCAAGGTATATTTCTTTCACTGGCTCTGATTCTAGGGACAAAGAGTGTTTCTTTGGCGCTGGTTTCAGAGTCAAGGCATGTTTCTTTGGTTCTGGGTTCAGGGATAAAGTGTTTCTTTCACTGGCTCGGGTTCCAGATCCAGGCTGTGTTTCTTTCACTGGTTCTGGGCTGCAGGGTCAGGGTGGTTTCTTTAGCTGACCCCTTTTCCCTACAGTCACTCACTAGAAAATAAACTAAGTAAATCTAATTTTAAAATGTTTAATGCAATGAGTGTGATATCATATGCTTTTAATCCTTATGGAGGTGTCCTCTGACCTCTACACACATGTACACATGTGTGTGCACACTACCACACACATTTGCACCCTCCTATATATGAACAGGCACATATACATACAAAATCACAAAGCAAAATACTAGAATAAGCTTTTCATAAATAAAAGCCATCGAATGGACAATAATCATGCAAATGTACTTTTAGATACAACTACATACATCAGAGTAGCTAAAATTAAACACATTACCATTGATCAGTAAAGTTTTGTATGAACTAAAAATTCTCATCTACAAAAATTTAGAGCATATTTAGATTCTATGACCCAGCAATTCTAGACCAACAAATTACATATGTATATTTACATACATAAACATCACAATATATTTCAAATAATTGTAAATATTTGATTTTGACCTATATAACATGCTTTTGCTCTAATGTGATTATGTTTCAATGCATAGTTTTCAACCATCTTACCAATTATGAGGACTTTGGTATGATATCATTACCTCACATTTCACAGAAAAACATACCTTTAAGGTAGGATTTACTCTTCTAATTTTTTTGTAATTTCTAAGTTTATGAAACTAAGTCTGAAGTGGACACTGTGGCAGTGCAGTGCCGTGACTGGTGAGGAGACTATACAGGAATGAGGGTGTGTCCACTCTGCCTTGCTCTTACTCACCTGTTCTTCAATTATTTGTATCATCTTTGGGGACTGACATTGTTAGAATGAGGTCTTAGTTAAGTGGCCATACAAAAGGCATAGGAAGGTTATGTGAGGAGCACCCATGTATGCAGAGCTTACCCTAAATGCTAGAACATCACATCTGAGAACTTGCTCAGATACTAGCATAAATCCACTTCCCTGGGCACACTAGGATACTGCGAAAAGACGCAGAGTGCAGATGAATGGTGGTACCATTGCCAGCCTCTTGTCCTGGAGATTTCTTTCAGGATAGTTGAATTTACTATAGAGTATATTACCCCTCTAACAAATAATGGTGCCATTTCTAATTTTTTGATAATGTAAATTGGAATCCTACTATGCTCTTCCTGTACACCAGTAATATGTCTTGTGTGTCTTCTTGGTATTCCCCATATTCTGTTCCATAGCAGAAACTGTGTTGAATGCATCCTTGAAAATGTACCATGTATAGAACTTAATAGAGGTCTGCTGGCCAAATAGAGGAAATATATAGAACTTTCTGAACTGTTTGACAGTAGCTTGAAATTTTGAATGGATACATTTTACCTACTCAACTTTCACAATTGTTTATATTGACATTTGTTAAGATTCTACTGTTACAAGAAGAAAGCAAGTTGTTGAAAATAAGTGGAGAAACTTACTAGAGCAGAAAAGAAAAATCTCTGGATCTGTAGGAATGAAATACACTGAGCCAATGATGGTAAGTATTGTCTTAGCAACACCCTCTTTTAGTAGTAGAAAGCTGTCTGAAAGACAAATGCTTTTGTTATAAGCTGTACCTCAACATCAGTGTGAATATAGCCAAAGCCATCCATGATACAGTGCTGGAATCTTTTACTAGTAGCTTATTGTACTTGTTTGCTATATTTGAATGAGTCCATGTGACTAGTGAAGGCTTTCAACTATCTTTAAGCAATTATTGCTGGAGCTAGAGAGATGTTAAGAGCACTGACTGCTCTTCCAGAAGACCCGGGTTCAATTCCAAGTGCCCACATAGTGGTTCACAACCATCTGTAACTCCAGTCTCAGGAGATCCAGAGCCGCCTTCTGGCCTATAAGGGCACCAGGCATACAAGTGGTACACACACATACATTTAGGCAAAACACCCACATATGTAATGTGGGATTTTTTTTCTAAGTTGGAAAAAGTATTTTTTAACTTATTATTTATAGCTAATTCTGTAGAAAGGTCATTTGTAACAAAATTCCCCAAAGTTATTTAAATCTGCAATAAATGGGCAGGATGAAAGAAGGGGAGTGAAGACAGGATGGATGTTGTTAATGTTGTGTATTGTACAGTATTTTTTAAAAAGACATTTTTCATCTAGGGACTTTTTATAAGAGACTTGGAATTATATAATGGTTTTGTCTTTAAGAACAGTCCACCAAAACCTAATATGGCTTTTGCAATAGAGATCTTGAGTAAAAGCCAAAGGACAGTAACAATTTTAAATGATGTGGAGATTATATGAGGGCTGAATAAGTATAGTCTAATATGACACTTTAGAGGGATTGATTTTAGAATATTGACAAAGTGAGATGAGTAAGTAAAAAGCATTTACTTGGAGTTTCCACTGTAAGTATCACTTATAGAACTGGATTAGGATGCCCTGTAAAGAATGTACATTTTGAGGGAGAAGTTGAGAGTCTAACCATTCATATAGGAAGTATTTCACACACTTCTTCCCAACTCTGGAAATCAAACCCAGAGCTTCTTACATGCAAAGTAAACACTGAGCCACACCCACATCCCAAGAAGCATTAATTTTTATAAGTATAAGGTTATTAATATAGATAATAACCATGATCTAATCTTACCAGCAAAGTAAGCCATTTAGTTTATGTTTGTAAAGTTATGGTCTCATTATCAGTATATTATTAAAGCTTAGTAATAAACATGAAATTATCGTCCAGATTACAAATGTAGTAATAACTAGTAAGTTCCTCTTTGAATTTCCATATTATTCCCACCAATCATGTCAAAATCTATGAAGGGAATTCATTATCTTTTATTAAACTTGTATTAAGCTATATCAGATTTGCGAGGTGTATTGCACACCTTTAATCCCAGCACTTGGGAGGCAGAGGTAAGTGGATCTCTATGAGTTCCAGGCTAGCCAGAGCTACATAGTGAGACCCTGCCCCCCACCAAAAAAGAAAAGAAAAAGATAATCTCAAATTTAGAAGTAACATGTTGTTACAACCACAAAGAATGAACAGATTTCCTATGCCCGTGCTTAGAGACTCTCGGTTGTTTTTACTGTTCTGGGTGCTCTGAGATTCCTTCTTGCTTTTTCCCTTTTTACTACTGTCTTTCAAGTTTTCTTTTCCTCCATTCTAGAAAGCTTTGCTTCATCTTTCACAGGTCTTTCACTTGCACATCTCCTTAGACACCTCACAAGATCTTGCTACTCTTAGACGACATGTGTGTTCTGGATCAAAATCAAATTTTAAAATTGAAAATTGTTATATTATTTTGTTTGGTTTTGTTCTTTATTCTTGGGGCTGATGAAGCATTCAGTTGCTACAGTAGTGACCCTTGTCACCATGTCTTAGGAAATGTGTTTTATCATGCCATCTTATGCCCAACTCTATGTGCAAAGAATATAAAACAGATAGATGAAAAGTGAAAAGTCACACTTGACGTTTTACAGCAGATTTTCAGTCCAAGATGTGTCAAGTGTAAAATGGACTCGAGCAAGGCTCGGGGAGGCAGTGTGCCATTGGTGGGGAGTGTTTTGCAGGGCAGGGCCCGAGTCAGTTACTCTTCAGAGCAGCTGATAGTGCTAAGTGTGAGTCCCCACCAGGCTGTAGCTCTACCAGGCTGTGTTCAGGAGAGGAGGTGGTTCCCGTCAGGTAGTGTGGAATGGCACTCTTTCTGATGACACCTTCCGATCCCTGCTGCTTCTGCTTGGAAGAGGAGGTGGTTCGGGAGAGGAGGTGGTTCCCGTCAGGTAGTGTGGAATGGCACTCTTTCTGATGACACCTTCCGATCCCTGCTGCTTCTGCTTGGGGCTTGTAGAGACTTCCTGTCCCCAACACCAGCCACACTCAGAATGGGGCTAGTAGTGACTCGTGCTTGCAAAGCCGTCTAAGTGTAAAGTGTGACGGGATTTTTAACAGTTCTTTATTCCAAACAGTTGCTTGCCACCCAGCATACTTTGCTCTTCTTGCTATCCAAGAGAACACCGCAACCTGAAATTTTGTATTAGACATAAGACATTTTTAAATATTTATCCACCCATGAAAGGCTTTATTCCAGTAGGTCTTGATTTCTGCTCCAAAACAGAAGAGACAGGCAAGTTATACAAAGAGTGACAACTAAAAATGCAGGCAACAGTTAAAGGTTCTTTAAAGACCATGACCAGGGCTGGAGAGATGGCTCAGAGGTTAAGAACACTGCTTGCTCTTCCAAAGGTCCTGAGTTCAATTCCCAGCAACCACATGGTGGCTCACAACCATCTGTAATGAGATCTGGTGCCCTCTTCTGGCCTGCAGGGATATGTGCAGACAGAACACTGTATACATAATAAAATCTTTAAAAAAAAGAAAAGACCGTGACCATATCATGAATTTTAAATGTGGAATTATGTTCTCATTTAACCTATTTTTATAGCATTTTGGACAAAGTGTCCCACTAAGTGCAAGTGAGCCAATACAAGCTACAAGAGATCCCAAGACTGAAGAAGGTACGTTTTACTGTAAGTTTCTTTTTTTTCTTTTATTGTAAATGGATTTTTATTTCACATAGTATATCCTAATTACAGTTCCTCTCCCTCTCCTCCTCCCAGTTCCTCCCCACTTCCTCTCCCATCTGAATCTATCTACTTTCTGTCTCTCATTAGAAAATGAACAGAGTCTAAGGGATAATAATAAAATAAAATGTAACAAAATACAATATAGTAAGATAAAACAAAAACTAACACATTGGAATAGGTCAAAACAAACAGAAGGGAAAAGCCCAAGAGAAGGCACAACAAATAGAGACCTTCTCATTTGCAAACTCAGGAACCCCAAAAAACACTGGAAGCCATAATGTATAGGCAAAAGACCTGTAGGTTAAAATGAGATATATAGAGATATATCTATATCTATTAAAAATAATAAGATAATTTTGAAAATATCAGAAGTCCTGCCACAATATTGTAAGACAAGGAATCTCCAAAGGTATCATTGAGTTTATTTGTTGTTAGCCATCTACAGCTAGCCTACCCTTAAGAGTAGTTTGTTTCCACCAGACTGTAGTGGCACACACCTTTAATCCCAGCACTCTGGAGGTAGAGGGAGGCAGATTTCTGAGTTTGAAGCCAGCCTGGTCTCTAGAGTGAGTTCCCATCTGCTGCAGGAGGAAGCTTCTGTGATGGTTGAGCAAGACACAGATCTGTGACTATAGCAAAATGTCATTGGGAGTCATCCCATTGCTACAGTTTTGTCTTGTTTTAGAACAGTAGTATTAGGTTTTACTGTGGGTCCCTGGGTAATCTAGTCTCAGGTTCTTGGTCACCCAAGCAGTGGGCAATTAGCTTAAGTCAGATCAGATATTGCTTGGTTACTCCAACAAGCTTTGTGCCACCATTGCACTAGCATTTCTTGCATGCAGGACAGTATTGTAGATCAAAGGGTTTGTAGCTGGGTTGGTGTTCACATTTCTCCTCTGGTGGTCTGCATAGCACCTTCCTGTACCAAAGACACTAGCACTAGGTGAGAACTCCAGGTAGGCACCGCTTGAATTTCTCCACGTCCAGTGAGTCCTGTGGGTTTTGTCTTCATCAATGAGGCCTTGTATCAGTTTGTAGAGAGCAACCAATAGTCTTGCCAATAGCCTGGATTGTTTGGGGGTTCCCAAGGGACCTTTGGACAACATCTCAATTTAGATAAAACCCAGTGCTGAGAGGGCTGGGAAGCCAGAGCAGAGCCATCACAGATTGATTTCTAACAGCCCTGCCAGGGACCAGGCCTTAGTTTCAGTTTACTGGAACTAGCTGGAGCTGAGCAAGCAGTTCTTGGAAAGACCACTACTCAGGGGCAACCAGTCAGCTGGTGTCCCACAGCTAAAGAAAGCTCTCCCTGCCCTGCTGCTGGAAAGTGCCTAACCACTAGAGCCTCCTACCCATCCTGTGAACTTTTTGTTGAAACCCACCAATCAGCCCCCAGACTAATCTCTCATCCTGAAATTCCCCTCACCCTGCTTAAAAGGAGCCTGTGAGCTTTTCTCGGGGTCGCCTTTTGCCACCCCAATATGTTGGCAATCTTTAATAAATGCTCTTATTGATTGCATACATGACTGGTGGTCTTTTATGGAACTTCTTGCAGACCCTAACAATACCAAGATGGTATTGGCAACAAAAGATACCCAGTTGGGGCTCTGTCTGCCCCAGTGTTTGGTGATTTCATTTAGATCACCTTTATATATATTTATATTTTAAAAAGCTACTACTGTACTAGATTTCCATACTACCCCTCAAATGGCCCTTAATTTTTGCTGTCTCCCTAAATATTCCTTCCATCACCTCCCTACTCCCTCCCTCTCTCCACTTGATTCTCCCATTCCAGTCCACCCCCATCTATCTATAGCTATCTATTCTATTTCCCCTTCTTAGGGAGATCTACCCCTGCCCCCAGTCAGTTCCTTACTCTATGCCTAACATCTGTGGTTATAGTTTGGTTATCATTGACTAAACATCTAATATCTACATATAAGCAAATATATACTATATTTTTCTTTCTGGATCTGGGTTACCTCATTCAAGATGATATTTTTCTAGTTCCTCCATTTACCTGCAGCTTTCATCATTTAATTTTTTAATGGATGAGTAATATTCCATTGTGTAAATATACCACATTTTCTTTATCCATTCATCTGTTATGGGACATCTAGGTTGTTTCCATGTTCTGGCTCTTATGAATTTAATAGCAATGAAAATAGTTGAGCCAAGTGTCTCTGAAGGAGGATGAAACATCCTTTGGGTATGTGCCCAAGAATGGTATAGCTGAATCTTGAGGTGGAAAGATTGCCAGCTTCCTGAGGAACCACCACATTGATTTCCATTGTGCTATACAACTTTGCATTCCAACCAGCAATGTATGAATGTTCCCTTTATTCCACATCCTCACCAGCATGAGGCTGTCACTTAAATTATTGATCTTAGCCATTTGACAGGTGTAAGAAAAAAATCTCAAAGTAGTTTTGATTTGTATTTACCTGATGACTAAGGATGCTGGACATCTCTTTAAGTGTTTCTCAGCCATTTGAGTTTCTTATTTTGAGAATTCTCTGTTTAAATCTGTACCCCATTTTTTCATTGAGCTATTTGTTTTCTTGATATCTTAGGGTTTTTTTTTTGGTTCTCTATATATTTTGGATATTAGCCCTCTATCAGATGTGTAGTTGGTAGAAATCTTTTCTCATTCTGTAGGCTGATGCTTTGTCCAAATTATGTTGTCCTTTGCCTTACAGAAGTCTGTCCTTGATGTTAACATGTGCTTCCAACATCTTGGAAGTAACAGAAGGATGTATCCTGTCTTCGCATGCATTCTGTTAGCCTGTGTCTTTTCATTAGAGAGTTGAGACTATTGATATTGAGAGATATCGATGACCAAATGATTGTTGACTCCTGTTATTTTGTTGGTGTTGGTGGTATGCATGTTTTTGTTTGTTTTTTTGTTTTTTGTTTGGTGTGTGTGTGTGTGTGTGTGTGTGTGTGTGTGTGTGTGTGTGTGTGTACCTTCTTTATACTTTTCTGGCTTGGGGTTATTTCCTCTGTTTTCTTGGATATAGTTAACCACGTTAGGTTGGAGTTTACCTTCTGGCACCTTCTGTAGGGCTGGATTCATAGGTAGATATTGATTAAAATTGGTATTGTTTCTCCATCTATAGTACTTGTGTGACTTAGACCTGAACTCTCCTTACGAAGGCATATTCAGTTCATTCCCAGTTTGTTGTTACTGTTTTTGAATAATAATGTACTAATTAAACATCTTTCTATAGCAAACTATCTCCTGAAGTGTTTCTATGTAGCTCTGGCATCCTGGAACTCACAATGTAGACCAAGATGGCCTCAAACTCATAGAGATCTGCCTGCCTTTGACTCCCAAGTGCTGGGATTAAAGGTGTGTGCCAATATTTTCTTAACTGGGGGTGGGAAAATGCCAGATTTAGAGAATCCTGAAAATTAAAATGCACGCTGAGCTGGAGAGATGGCTCAGGGATTAGGAATCCTGGCTGCTCTTTCAGAGGACCCAGGTTCAATTACCAGCACTCATATGGAGACTCACCATTAGCTGTAACTTGGAAGGAAGAAAATCTCACGGGGTCCCACCCCCTAAACAAAAAACAGGTAACTAAGAAATGCTGAGGGGGAAAAATTAGTCTTCCCTGGGGATGAGCCCCTAATTGGCTATCCAGAACCAAGTGGTCAGCCCTGAAATAAATATATATATATATATATATATATATATATATATATATATGCAACACTAAATTAATTACCAGGTGGTGTGTGTGTATGTGTGTGTGTGTGTGTGTGTGTGTGTGTGTGTGTGTGTGTGTGTGTAAAACAATAAAAAAAAGAACTCGGGAGTCAGAGGCAGGCAAATCTCTGAATTCGAGGCTAGCCTGGTCTACAGAGCAAGTTCCAGGACAGCCAGGGCTACACAGAGAAACCTTGTCTTGAAAACCCACCCAAAAACAAAACAAAAACAAAAAGAGGCCCTGAATGGGGGGTAGGGGAGTATGGGATGGACTGGGGAAAGAAAGAGAAGGAGGAAAATGATATAATTATGTTTTAATCTAAAAATAATTTTTAACCCCCCCAAAAAAACTTAAGAAAATTTTAAATAGCCAGGATGTGGTGGTGCAGGCCTTTAATCTCAGCACTTGGGAAGCAGAGGCAGGCAGATCTCTGAGTTCAAGGCCAGCCTGGTCTACAGAGTGAGTTCCAGGGCAGCCAGGGCTACACAGAGAAACCCTGTCTCAAAAAAACCCAAAGAATGTAAAAAGAAAAAAGTAAATGAAACAATACAATATACAGTAACAGAATGTTTGCTGACTTGTGTTTGTGACTTGAGTACACACAGACATAATTTCAGTAAGTCAATATTAGGGCTGACCCCAAGGACAAACGTGACCAAAGAGTCAATGTCGCTTCTGCAGTTTCAGGTACTTCTGAGTGCTTGGTGGCAGAAAACCTTGTGAATTCTTCAATGCCTGAGGATGAAACTCTGACTGCCATAAACAGCAGGCAGCCACAGAAACCACATCTATCCTTGAGTAAGACCCAGCCACCCAGCGTCTGTGCCATGTCGGCTGAAGAGCAGAAGGTCTTGCAGTCCCTCCATCATCTCAATGAGAGGCTGTACTGTAAGTGTGGGAGCGCAGCTTCTGTAAGAAAGGAACACATGTTCTTAAGCTTACGTTAAATCTTTATTTCATTTAAAACTTTGAAGTAAAAATACAAAATATGTCTAGGTTATCACCTTAATAAATCATTTAAAAATTGAGAATATTGTTAATATTTCAGATTAATGCAGATATCATTTTTAATGATGCCAATTTATATACTATTGTGTTTTAGAAATATATGAACATAAGCTGGACGTGGTGGTGCACGCCTCTAATCCCAGCACTCAGGAGGCAGATCTCTGTGAGTTCCAGGCCAGCCTGGTCTACAGAGTGAGTTTCAGAACAGCCAGAGCTACACAGAGAAACCCTGTCTCAAAAAAACCAAAAGAATGTAAAAAGAAAAAGAAATATATGAACATATTACTTGTGTTTTAACAATAAATAGACTAGGTATCTATACTGACCATCATGAAAATAACTTTATCAAGTATTTTTAAAACCTCAACTTTGGATACACACACAGAGAGTGCTCAAAGCTAAGTGCATGCGGGCATGAAGCAATGCCTGTAATAGCAACGCATGAGTGCCTGCAGCAGGAGCAGCAGTGCAGGCTGAGGGCCAGCCTGGGTGGCCTGTCGAGCCCCAGACCAGATGGGGACATAAGATCCTGTCTTTAAGAAAAAAAGTGAAAATAGTTTTTAACTAGGAAAATCAGAGTAGAGCCACAGCAAAAAGAAATCAGAGTAGAGCCACAGCAAACTCTGAAGCTGAAGATATTTGATTCGTGGGATAATTAAAGGGGAACAGTACACAGTAGTGTCACAAAAGATGCTCCACCATTACGGTAGACCATCAAAAGATCTATGCTTTCCACCACAAAAAGTGGGGAGGTTTTAAAAAAAAAAAAAAAAAAAAAAAACAAAGCTTACACTTCTTCAACTTCAGTATTGAGCAGCTGAGGGAAGGGGGGAAACATCTCTGTTGCTATAGAAACGTAGCCTAGGGCGCACCTCACTGTAGTTACACCCCATGTTCATACTACCTGCATGGTCTCTAAAGCCTGGAGCAAAGAACATAATTGAAAATGATCTCAAACTGCTAATACCCACAAAATAATTAAGAAAATGTATATTAATATCCCTTTTGGAGATGGGGTTTATATTCCAATCTTCAAAGAATTATCATAAATGAGATCTGAGGGAAATGAATTGTCAAAAATCATAAAAAACTAATCCATAAAGAAAAAAATCCATTAAAAAATCAAAAGAAAGCACAATACATACTAAATAGAACCCAAGAAGATATTATATAATAAAATTACCGACACAAAAAACTATAAAATAACTGTATTTATATATTTTTAAATAATCAGAAATATCTTTCAAAATCCAGTAAGGAAACATGCAATATACAATGACTTAGCATATTTGGAAAATTACAAGACCTATGAATGGAAGATAGGAATAAATTTAAAATTCAGCCCATTATTTATAAACAACAGATGATGACATCTGAAGAGAGAGTTAATGACCTAGAATATAAATCAGAAAAAGTACAGAGGTGAGAAATAGCAAACTAGAGCTAAAACGACAAAGCCCTGGACCTGAGGCCGTGGGATCACGGCTGCCAAGTTCTCCAATCTAGTGAGACTACCAACACAGAGAGTGAAGAGCTGCTCTTCCAGAGGACCCAGGTTCAAGTCCCAGCACCCATATGGCAACTCACAACTGTCTGTAACCCCAGTTCCAAGATATCCGACACCCTCACACACACACACACACACACACACACACACACACACACACACAGACAACACGAGTGCACATAAAAAAAGGAAAGAAAGAAATTCTCTTGTGTAAAAGGGGTCCTGAGTTCAAGCCCCAGCACAGGAAGTGGGGGAAGCCTGTCTGGCTGGCCTGGAACTCACTATGTAGACCAGGCTAGCCTCAAACTCAGAGATCTGCCTGCCTCTGCCTTCTGATTATTGTCATTCTACCACAACCACCAAAAGAAAAAGAATAAAACAAAAGGAAAATATGACATTTGAATGAAGATTGTTTTATAAAATCAAGATACTAGGAATTCCCTCTTACCAGCTTCAGATTTATATAATTGTTCCTAATCAATTTGCTTTCATTTTTGGACCTATTTACATATAAGGACTATTTCTGGGGTCAGTAGGAAAAGAGTCTCATATTCAATTTTGAATATTTTGACACAACAGAATTTTGTTATTAATTCTTTAATGATTCTCTTTGTTATATAAGTAACTAATTATTTTTTGTGTCATGGTATGATTTTTCAGATGTACAAGAAGCCATTTGCAAAAACCCATCCATCAAAAATACTTTACAGTTAATACCACTTCTGGTAAGTGTTGGCTAAGTTCCTCCTTTGCTTGTTTTATGTAGGCATTTCTAGAGGTCAAAACCTTTAGGGGGGCAGCTGGAGAGGTAGCTCAGCAGTTAAGAACAGAGCCCTTGTTTTTGCAAAGGACCAGGCTGGTAGTTCACAATCATCAGCACTCTAGTTCCTGGGGACCGGATGTACTCTTCTGACCTCACGGGAACCAGTCACACATGCTGCACATACATGTGTGCAGGCAAAACACTCATTCACACAGAATAAAATACATAAATCTTTTTTAGTGTAAGAACCTTTGGAGATTTGAGGGAGAGGATAAAGACTGGGTGCCTTCAGTTCTGAAATCCTGACAGGACAGCGTCCGCATCTCTCAGTACTGTTTGTTCTGTGAAGCAGTGTTTGCAGTGTGCTTGCCCTGACCTGTGTCTGACAGGAGAGGCAGTGGAGAGAGAAGGAGGCTGCACTGCCCGTCCACTCACTCTGCACCCCTAGGCACACAGCTTTGGAGCATCCTTGTTGGCAAGCACTTGTTTCTCTACGTTGTTTTGTAATTGCCTAATTTGGTAATATTTCCAATGATAATTTTTCTTCCTAATAAGAATGTAGTAGATTCAAAATTTGAAAATTTTAAGTATCTTTACTTTGATTCATGCATTATGAGATATTGTTTAATTCAAATTTTAAGTACGTTTTTTTCCTCAAAGAACTTCAGAATCTTTGGAGAAATGTCAATTAATGACCTAGAAAATCAAATCTCTGACCCAGATACTTAAGTCATTAGCATTTATCCAAGCATAATTTCAGTGAGTTATGAAAACAGTTTTATCATGTGGGTGTTAATCCACTGATGATGGGTAACCATCCAGCTACATTAGGTTCAAATGCTGACTTAGTGGATTTTTTGAGACAGGGTTCAAAGAGATATGAGCTTCTGCCTCTCCCAAGTGCTAGGATTAAAGGCATGCACTACCACCACCCAGCGTAAAATAAAATAAATTTAATGAATTTTTAAGAAACAACTTTATCTTTGGCCTAAAATATATGTTACACATTCCTAGGGCCTTACATGTGCTTTGTTTAAAAAAGAAGGAAGGAAGAAAGGAAGGAAGGAAGGAAGGAAGGAAGGAAGGAAGGAAGGAAGAGAGAAAGAATGAATTATACTTGACCATTTACACACAGATAACAGTTCCTCTGCATTGTGTTGTTTTTTTTTTTTTGAGACGGCATCATGTAGTTAGCCTTGAACTCTTGGTCCTCCTGCCTCTCACTCGCAAGTGCTGAGATTATACGGATATCCCACCACCCCGGGTTAGAAAGCTGCTCTTCAGGATCTGGAGAGCTGACTCTGTGAGTAAAGTGGTTGCTCACAAGCCTGAGGCCCTGAGTTCAGATCCCAGTCCACGTGAAGACAGGATGGACAGTCTGTGGCCCAGCCCTTAGGCGTGGAAACAGGCAAGTCTCAGGGCTCCACTGGCCAGCCAGTCAGCCAAAGGATTGCTTTTCAGATTCAGTGAAGAGACCCTGTCTCTGAAAAGTAATGATAAAGTAAGTTGGGGAAGAGAAAAAGATGCCTAACATCAACCTCTGGCCTCCAAGTACACATAAGACAAGTACACCTGCCCACCCACAACCACAACCATACACGTGCTCTAAGGACGTTTCTTTGAAGCAAGTTACCAATAGTAAACTGTGAAAGTGTGAATTATTACTGTTCATACAATGCCCTACAGAGAGCAGGGCATAACATTGTTGAAATTGATATATGAACCATTTAAGAATTTTTATTTGAATTTAGTCTTCTTAAAAGCCATAATCGCCGGGCGGTGGTGGCGCACGCCTTTAATCCCAGCACTCGGGAGGCAGAGGCAGGCGGATCTCTGTGAGTTCGAGGCCAGCCTGGTCTCCAAAGCGAGTACCAGGAAAGGCGCAAAGCTACACAGAGAAACCCTGTCTCGAAAAAAAAAAAAAAGCCATAATCTGCAAGGAGAATTACCTGTTAACATCTGCAGATCTGACAATAAGAGAACCCTCTGAACTCTCTTACAGAACAGCCAGCCAAGGGCCAGGCTCTCTCCTGATGCTGGATCCAGAGTACAGAGAAAATACTGATCAACTGTGACAGTCACCACTTAGTGGATTCATTATTTTTGAGACTCCTGTAAATAAATTCTGTATTCTACATTTATTAATAATTTAAAATACTAGACTTTTATGTTTATAAAAGCAAATCATAATGTAGGTAATGGAGATGAATTTACTAGCTTATATTTATGCTACAAATTATACTTTATTATGTATTTTCTTGATACATTTTTAATGAATGAAATATTTCATTGTTTTCAGTAAGCATGCTAATGGATAAAAATTTTCTCTATTTAAAAATAAAAGAGGCTATTTTATTATTCAAATTATGTATTAGGTATGATAGTGAAGCTTTGTTTTCTGAAATTCCTAATTCTAATAAATTTTTGTACAAGTATACAAGAGGATTATGATTAATAACATCCCCCATAAATAATAAAGCTATTTGTTTAAGACTTTGCAGGATCTCTGCCTTTTTATGTTACCAGGAGGTTGAGTTACTAGCTTGCACGCTCAGTAATTAGTAATATCATTTTACTCAAGGGTCATTAGTCTCCAATAAAACTGACAACATTTTAAAAATTCAAAGTAAGGGCCAAGTTTGTTCCAGTGTCTGGTATGCTGTAGTGGAGAGAAAGGAGCATGGGCTTAAGAAGGGCCCAGGGAAAAGTTTCGGCAAGAATCAGCGAGTTCACGTTTGGGAATTATTTAATAAAGGCAGTGGTAATAAGCAGGCAATAATGAATATATTTTGAATTCTTATTTTCTGATACATTGGTTATGAAGTACAGAGTGGAAAGGAGAAATCAAGGATGATTCCATTGGTGACTGTGGTCAGGTTGGCTATGAGAAGGTGGAAATCCTGAGGTGGAGTATAGGAGAGCCAAAAGGTAGGTATTTTAAAAAACACTTACTACATTTTGATTTTCCTATTAGCTATCCCCATGGTGACCTGGCTAATTATTCCCTTGGACACACTGGCTGGAGTGCAGTGACAAGGTCAGTGAGCCCCTAGTGTAGACAGCTGTAAGACTGGATGAGATGACCTGAAGGAAAAGTGCAGGGTTCTAAAAGGTCATGAGAGACCAACTAGATTGACTGGGATTACAGACAAGCACCGTCACATCTAGCTTCTAATGATGTTTTCTTACATAGAGAAACCCAAGCACCACCAAAAAAATAAAGAACTAATAGTAAGCTCAACAAAACTGTAAGATACAAACAATATAAAAAAATTAGTGGTGTTAGTAACTTATCTGAAACAGAAATGAAGCAACATCCCATTATAATAGGCATCAAAAATAAATAAAATAGCTAGGGATACATTCAACTAAAGAGGTAAAAGATTGCGTTGAAAATGAAAAGGCATTAATGAACGCAATGGAAGGGAACACAACTGTCTTGAAAGGTATCTTGTGTTCAGGAATTGAACAGTTCAGTGCAGCCCCTATCAAAATACCCATGACATTCTACCTAGAACAAAAAATAAACTCAAAAATTTGTTTGAAACTCTTCTAAAAGTAAAAATAGCAAAAAAAACCATTAGCAATTAGCAAAAATTATAAAGCGTGACTTCAAAATATACTACAGAGCTTTAGTAATCAAAAGTCCGATATGAGCACAAAGGCAGGCAGGCACAGGGGAGAACCTAAGGCGTGGACCAGACACTGCAGCCCTAGGGCGACTCTTCCACAATGCTCCTGTGAACATTGCCTGAGACTGGACAGTCTTCTCAACTGAAGTTTTCTAAGAGTTACAATCCTCCTAAATATGTCTCTGAGAATACTATACCTGAATAAAAATTCAGTACAAAATTAACTCCTAATAGGTTAAAGGAGCCAACTAGATAAAGGCACTTGCCACAAATCTGGCAACTTGAGTTTTACTCTGGGACCCACGTGGAAAAAAGACAACCAGGCTGAACCACCACGGGTAACTGCCTTGTGGTGGCACAGCCGTCTCACTGAGTAATAGAACAACCTGCTTCACCAGTATGTCCCTAAGGCAATGTGCGACTACTGAGTTCTCAAGTAAAATACATTGACAGTCTAACAGATGTAAATATAGCAATGTGGTGCCCATCATGAGTTGTAAGTCAGGCAAGCCCTGTTAAACTGTTGTCTGAGTATTAATGTAATGTACTGCCCTCTAGGGGTGACAGAAAAATAAACATTCCTATCAGACAACACTGGTAGATTTGGTTCAATTGGATTTAGTTTGGTTTTATGGTTGAATACAAAAAGTTTTCATCTTTTTAACTTTTTTCCTTGTGTGCATTCATTGTACATGGCACTCTGGTACATTGTTATAGAGGACATTTTCACATGAGCGTATACATGAGCATATTGGCCCCCACACTTCCCATACCTTCTCTTCCCCCCTCCAGCTCCCCTTAGCTTTCCTTCTGGCTTTGCGCCCTCACTTCATAAATCTCTCAATCAAGTGTACTGAGGAGAACTTCCAGACACTAAGAGCGATTGCAAATTCATTCTGGAGCTGTGAATAATACTTAAATAGCATGCATATGGGTTTGATCCAACTAAAACCAAAACGTAAATAAAAACTCATTCTGTATTTATAAGAGTGAAGAAAGTAGACATCCTTGTTTCTCGTTTAATTGTGCTTAAAGTCTCTTTGTTAGAGCCTGTCTCAAAAAAACAAACAAAAACAAAACAACAAAAAAAACCAGAAAAATTCTGATCGGAAATTAGGAACAATTGGAAGTTTGTTGTTTTGTTTTGTTTTGTTTTTTGTTTTGTTTTGTTTTGAATAAAACTGCAACAAAGCAGGGTGTGGTGTTGCATGCCTTTAATCCTAGCACTTGGGAGGCAGAGTTTGAGGCCAACCTGGTCTACAGAGGTAGTTCCAGGACAGCCAAGGCTATATAGTGAGCCCCTGTCCCAAAATAAAACAAAGTAAGACTGCAACAATCCAACAGTGCTGTGCGTGTATGGCTGGTCATGGTGGAATGTGCTTAGGAGCCTAGGGATCAGGAAGGTCATTCACCCAAATTCAGCTATGCAGTGAGTACAAGGCCAGCCTGAGCTACATGAGATCTTGTCTCAAAAAACTAAAAAGAAGGACATCAGGCCGGACGATGGTGGCACATGCCTTTAATCCCAGCACTCTGGAGGCAAAGGCAGGCAGATCTCTATGAGTTCAAGGCCAGCCTGGTCTGTAGATGGGGTTCCAGGATAGCCAGGGCTACAGCGAGAGATCCTGTCTCAAAACAAACAAGGAAAAAAAGGGCCTTAGGATTGCTAAGTGGGTAAGGTCTCTTGCTGCTGAACCTGACAATATAATACACATGCCCACACAGACATTCAAACAGAATAAAGTGCAATACAATATTAACTAAAACAATAAAAGTAGACACTCAAGAAAATTGAACACGTATCTACAGAAAAAGTTGATACAGATATTCATGGGGTTTAAATCATCATAGCTAACACATAATTCATAAGTTTATAAATCAATGAGTACATAAATAAGATATGGGCCAGCAGGATGGCTGAGTGGCACTTGCCCCCAGGCCTGACAATCTGAATCCCATGCCTAGGACCCACATGATGGAAGGAGTGAACTGATATCCACAGGTTGTCCTCTGATCTCCACATATATGCACACAAAATAAATGTAAACAAAATTTAATCTGGTTTGTCTACACACTGGAATATAGAAATAAAAAGAATAACCTGATAACAAAGTGGATGAATCATTAAATTATTGTGGAAAGTGAAAGGAGTCAGACCTGAAAGGCCATCTATTACATATTACATGAAGACATTTCATCTGAAAGTGGATGGCAATTGCTGGGGCTATGAGCATGAAGCAGGAAATGTGTGCAAATAGAGATGGTCTTTCTAGTTGTTTATGCAAACATTCTCCAATAAACGTTAGGATTTAGAGTCTGTGAATGCTTTAAAAGTCATTGAGGTATGTAACTTACATGGACAAGTGTTGTAGTATTTGAATTACATTTCAATATATCTGTTGTTCAAAAAAATTAGAACCACAAAAGATGTAATTAAAAAGAAGATGAAGAAGAGAGAAGCCGCAGCAATGAGATCTGTAGGGCCAAAGAAAAAAATGAAACTAGAAAAGAAAGAAGTGGAAGAAAAACGAAAATAATTATCATAAATAAATAAATATCATCAATACATGAGTGAGCAGGGCAAGCTGGCTCAGACATGTAGTTCCAGCACTCAGGAGGTAGAGGCAGAAGAACCAGGAGGCTAAACACCATTCTATTTGACATACGAATTGCTAATAATAATGAGGTTTTTTTAAACAAACATACAATTTTAAAGGCTAGATATTAAACCAGGCATGGTGGCACTTACCTATAATTCCAATACTTGGATGCTGGAGTGGGAGGATCCTGAACTACACAGTAAATCAGAGGCCAGCCTAGACTGTGGACTGCAAGACTGTGTCAAAACAACCACAGAAACACCAGAAACAATAGCTTTTTTAAGACTATAGGTTAGAATTTAAAGCTATCAAAAATATCTATTTATTCAACAGTGAAGTAAGGATATTTCTCTTAGGCTTGAGAAAAAAAATAAATAAAAGGGATTTCTTTTTTTTTTAATTAAGAAATTTTCCATTCATCCTACCTATCAGTCACAGATTCCCCTGTCCTCCCTCCTCCCACTCCCCAGCTCCCCCCATCCCACCCCCCCCATTCCCACCTCCTCCAAGGCAAGGTCTCCCATGGGGAGTCAGCAGAGCATGGCACATTCAGTTGAAACAGGTATAAGCCCCTCCTCCCTGCACCAAGGCTGTGCAAAGTTTCTCACCATAGGCACTAGGTTCCAAAAAGCCGGCTCATGCACTAGGGACAGGTCCCAGTCCCACTGCCTGGGGGTTCTCTAAACAGTTCAAGCTAAACAACTGTCTCACTTATCCAGAGGGCCTAGTCCAGTTCCATGGAGGCTCCTCAGCTATTGGTCCACAGTTCGTGTGTTTCCACTAGTTTGACTAGCTGTCTCTGTACTCTTTCCAGTCATGGTCTCGATATCTCTTGCTCATAGAATCCCTCCTCTCTCTCATCGATTAGACTCCTGGAGCTCCACCTGGGACCCCATCGTGGATCTCTGCATCTAGTTCCATCAGTCACTAGATGAGGGTTCTATGATGACAGTTAGGGTATTCAGCCATCCGATCACCAGAGTAGGTCAGCTCAGGCACCCGGGTTTTTTATTTATTTTTTTAAGAAACCATTGAAGTCACAGTCTTAGCAAGCAGATAAGCAGATATGATAATCCTTGGAAAATCTAAGTTGATCTCCCGTAATGCAAACTATCTGTTATTTGTTCAGATTGCTTTGCAAACAGGCATACTACCTGAAGCAAGGCTTTGAAGTAGGTTCTCACCAAGTTGAGGGAAGTTGTGCCCAGCCAGGAAGCCAAAACAGGCCTAGGTGTAACCAGAAAGTTTCTCCAGTCCTGCCCGG